GTCCTCAATTATCCTAAATTTTTGAAGGAAAAGGAGGGAAAAAGGTGTAGCCAGGGCTTGAACTCGCCCAGGGACTGTCCCTGCACCCTGGGGACAAGTGGCTGCATGAGGGTTAAAAATTGCAGTTCTCTGCAGTTTCCCCCTCCCCTCCTGCCTTAAAAAAAGTAAAAATAAACAAACAAAAAAAGAATTTTTGGATTGAAAGGCAACAGTAAAAACCCCAGAGGCACGGAAAGAAAAAGGGTTAATTCCTGGGAAACTCTGGCATTCCAGCTGTGGACAGTAAGGCTGTGGGGACGGATTCAATGCACCAAAAGCCACGTGAGAAAGGAACTGAGAAGTGATTTAGTGGGTTCTCTCAAGGTTAGAGACATTCAGCAGCACAGAACAGAGGCAACCTTCCCAGAAAAATCCACTCCAAAAATCCTGCCTTCAACACTGCTGGGACAGGCCCCCAGGGCCAAAAGGATGCATATCTCTTCCAAATGGCCAAATTCACAAGCAAAGAAAACATTTAAACCCAGAGGTTGTGTTAAGTTCTACATTTATTGCAGCTATTAAAAGGTTAACAATGCTAACAGGGGGTTTTTGTGTTTGTTTTTTTTTTTTTTTTTACTTACACTACAGGGAAATGTCAGTTATCCAGAACATAAGCATTGCCACTGGCTTAGCACTGCTGCATCTGCACGGGACAGAAACGAGCAAATTCTCTACAGGATTAATGGCAAAACCCAACCAAAAGACAGCAGACACACCACTGAAGTTAGTTTAAAATGTTCACTGAAGCTTGCAGTCTTCATGGAAGAGAGCCTGGAACTAAAATGACAGAAAAAGAAGCTTGTAAAAACCTCCAGCAAGGCAAAGTGTCTGCATCACAAACGTTTCACACCTACAAAAGCACCTAACAGACTTCCTCAAAGCTGCCTGCAAAAGGCAGGTCAAAGCCAAAAGGAGGGGAGGGGGGGCAGAGGGGGTGTGGGACACGTAATATAGCAAAGAAATCTTTCCAAAATGTAAATGGGAAAGAAGAGGTGAACTGGAGTCGTGCAGGGAATTCAAAACCAGGGGTAGCAGGTTTGTCCCTGGGCTAAGAGGAAAGCTGAACCCTCTGGGGTGGGGCTGAGCAATAAATCAAGAGGCCAACAGTGCTGGGACCAGTTATTCTAAGCCAGACTGGCACTGGGAGAAGGCTCGAGTTTTAACACCGATTAGGCCCAGGAAAGAAAGGGGAGAGGGGCAGTGAAAACCACACCCAAACAGGAGTTAAACAGCTCAGCACCCACTGCTGGCACCGATGATTTTCCCAGCAGCCTGAGGTCCAAAACCAGCCTGTAAGAAACCTCTGGGCTCTCAGGGGCCCTCGAGTCTGACAACCAGATAAACTTATTGGGATTCACGGCCTTTGTTAGAGGTGAAGGCTCATGTGATGCTCATGGGAAAACCAGAACCACCAGTGGGTTTCCCCGTGGGGTCCTTCAGTGATTTGGTGCTTCAGGGCAACTAAAACTGAGGGAGCAGGAAATCGCACACAACACCGTGATCTTGTTCCTTTTGGTTTCAAAGTCAGTAAAAGGGGAAAAAAAAATTAAAATATAAAACTCAACTTGCACTGATAAACTAACAGTGCTTGGTGCCAGGCAAGGAGAATTTGCTGCTGGGGACTGGACGTGGAGACAACTCCCTGGCAAGCAGGTTTTGGTGGAGGAAGAGCAGAAAAAGGGCCTTTAAACAGCAGGCACAGGCAAGTTGGTGACCAAAGAAGACACTGCCTTGCAGACTTGCCAGGAGCTGGAGATGCTGCCACACCTCCTCGTGGGTGCTGCCAGTGGTTTTGCCACAAGCTCTGCAAGGATGGGAACGCCAGGACTCGCTGCTGGTCAGCCCAGGAGCAGCTCTTTGGGAGAGTGCAGCAGGTTTTGGGCACTGTCACACTCCAGTGAACACCTGGGGCTGGTTTTTAAGACAGGTTAAATTCTGTCCCCTCTCAGGAATGCCCCAGTGGTGGGCAAGCCAGGGAAAAGATGAAGGATCAGACCTCGGAGGGTTGGTTTTGGTAACACTGTTAAATCTTCCAGGTTTTGTTCATTAATCCAGTCTTCTCTTTCAGTAAATTCTGGAATAGTCCCTTAAAAGTACAAGGTGTTTGTTTTTTTTTTTTGTCTTGGGGTTTTTCAGTCAAAGAACTCGTGCCAAGCAAATGCTTAAGAGAAATTACTCTCTGAGCTGGTGGTCTTATAAAACTGATGATCCACTTCCAAGCGTTTCCTTCAGTATTTCCTGCAGGCACGTGAACTGCACCTGCCCATGACTTACAACTCCTTGGAGGAGGAAAAGAAACTTGGGGGAGAGAGCTGCCAAATTGGTGTCAAAACAAAAAGGACACTTAAAAAACTGCACAGCTTGTTCACTGGAATGAGAAACCTCTTCCCAGCCGAGGTTTCCAAGGAAGGGTTTGGTGGTGTCAGACTTGGAGGAGGCTCAGCTGCTCACCCTGCACTCAAAAAGTCTGGATTCCCACCCCAAAATAAACCCACAGGTGGAGGCTCTTCTTAAAAACTGGCGTGGGGAGGGAAGGAAGCTGCTCTGTGCAGAAGTGGGGGGGAAGATGGAACCCCCCCCCTCAGCAAAATGCAGGGTCACAAAATCTGAACTGCCCTGCAAAGGATCTGGATCTCAGCAGGTTCTTCCTTTCGGAAAGGACCAGGACCAAAGCAGGTCCCTCAGGGTTCTCACTTATTTGAGGGTTTTTTTTTGGTGAAGAATCACATCCCAAAACAGGTAAACTTGGCCAGAGAGAGAGAGAGAGACAGAGAGAGAGACAGAGAGAGGTAAAAACAGGCACTTCTGAGCCCAAACCAGCTGTTTCTTCCTCAGAAGATGAGACACCCAAGTGTAGCTTGCACAACACAAGACTAACTTGACTCTTGGAGGATGTTTTAATACATTAGCATTCGAGTCCACTACTAGAGACCAGAGTGCTCTTCATGCTCTGCTGAAGATCTTTCCCACAGCAGCTTTACATTTCCAGGCACTTTTTTAGCCAGCCAGTCTCTTATGTCAAACCTAGAAAGCAAGATTTGGGGTAATTCAGCAGTTCAAAGCACTTCACTGGAGGTCTGGACTCTGGTGAAAGGTTAAAAAAAAACCAACGAGCCAGCTACACTCATGGGAACAGCACTGATTTCTTGGAAGGGGAGGGTTTCAACAGCCCTGGGAGTTAATGTTGGCAGCAATGATTACACCCAGGCGTGGCCACAGCACCTACCTATTTACTTGCTCTTTTCTGCCTGTACATTTGTATCATTCTCTGACGGAAAACGTCAAATGCATCTTCTTTATTTTCTTCCCCTGCAACACCCAAGCCCTCCCCTGCAGAGGTAGCACCCCTAGGGAGCAAAATGGAGAGTTAGAACACTCTGAGCCCGGGACATGGCACAACGAGCAGAAGAAAGAGAAAACAACAGCTTCCAACCCAGACACAACTCAAGGGGAAAGTCAGAATTCCAGGGGGAAAGTCAGGATTCAAGTCATAACTCAAGGGGAAAGTCAAAATTCAAGTCATAACTCAAGAGGAAAGTCAAAATTCAAGTCCTAACTCAAGAGGAAAGTCATTCTGCTTCACCTGGGGCAGAAGGGGAGCAGAGGTCTGGGAGCAGAGATCATCTAAAACAATCCCCACCTCCCCCTTCAACGTGCAAACCCCCCCTGCCAGAAGAAAGCTGGAAAACCTCTGTGTTCCCCCACTCAAAATTAGAGGTGGCCAGAACCTCGCAGAATGTGCTGGGCTGTCAAGACCACACACAATTAATGAGCTGCAAAACTTGTAGCCAGGAGCTACAGAAACAACAAATATATTTGGTCCCAAGAGGTTTTTTTGGGGAGGTAAAAAACCCCCAAAGTTCTAAGAGTGCTGAGCTACAGGTGGCATGAGCTGCTTCCTCACTGTCTTTTCCCTGCTGAAGGAGGAAACATGGAAATACAATTATGGCTGCTGGAATGAAATAATTTCATAACCCATTTAAGTGGCCAAGGCACGAGGAGAGCACAGAAATCCCTGGAGAAAAAAAAAGACTCGTTAAACCACAGGCAGAAAGTTGGTTGTGTGGGTTCAGAGGGAAATAAATTATGTGGGTTCAGAGAGAAATAAACGTTCTGCTCCTTATTCAGCTGGGGAGGGAAGGAGGGATTATCCACGAGGAGATATTATCCATCCTCTGGCAGCAGTGGGCACCGGAGACAGCGACTTTAAATGACAAAATGAAGATCAAAAACCCCTCAAAATTTAAAGGGAGAAGACACACTTACCTCGTGGCAGGTGCACTTACCTCTCTCCTCCTGCAGTGGGATGAACCACACAATCAAGAGTGCCAACAAATGAGCTGCCTAAACCTACCAATGTGTGACATTCCCAAATCCCATCTGCACTCTACTGGGCCTGCTGTGGCAGCAAGGAGATCCCCCACGGGTTAAAAATCCCTGACAAAGCTACTGTGAGTACTCCCAGGCTTTTCCAGAGCTGCCAGAGGCTCTGGAGGGCGTTGTGTTCCCATTACATACACTTTTACGGGCTCTCTGATCCCTTTCCCTCGTGTGCCGAGGCCGTGCCCCTCCTGCCAGCCCATCTTCTGCAGCATCTGGAAACCCACGTTCCTGTGTGTCAGCCTCTTGTGGGAGAACTCCAAATCTTTTGGTTTCTATGGAGAGGAGAGACAACAGAACAACAAAAAGGTGGGTTGTTATCCAAGGGAGATCGTGAAAAAAGAACACACAAAACACCCACCCCTCAAATCCACCCCCACCCCTCCAAAAACTGGGTGTGTTTGAATTTCTGGATATACAGAAATAGCTTCCCAGTAGCATTTCAGCAGCTACACAGAAAAAGAAAAAAAAAAATAAAATCAAAGGGTAATACCTGCCTTGCTAGTCCAAAAAAACATCCATTTCAGGCTCTCAAATTGTTTAACTGCATTGTTAAGATTATGGCAAATGGCAGCCCTTTGTATTTGAAAAAGTACTTCTGTTTTTTTTAAATAAATAGATATTGAATGATCCGATGACTGAAGCCCCGCTGCAAACACAGAAGCAGCCAAGTAGTATCTCACCAATTTTGGGGAAATTGCAGCCTGTTTTTCGGGCAGCAAAACACCCATTTCTTTACAGTGTATTTTTTTTTTTAACCCCCAGCTATTCAATGGAATGTTTCATTTTGAGACAGGTATTCCAAACAGGTTTATTAGGAGGAGTCACAGCTCCCCTCAGGTTTAGCCCAGACATCTCCAGGACCGGGTTCTGCAGGTTTGGGTTTGATTTCGTGGCAAGGAGCAAGTTTTTGGGGCTGCCTCTTGTCAGCAGAGCTGATTCTCAGGGTGCAGCTGCAAAGCAAAGGGGTCCTTTACCTTCTTCTTCTTTGTCACTGGGCAGCCCCGAGGTCTGTCATAAGCAATCCTGACAGGCTCGTGCACTGCAAGGCAGACCAAGGACAAAAAAAAAAAAACAAAACAACACATCAGCTGTGAAGAGAAACCTTTGTGATGCAGGACTCCAAAAGACCACCCAAAACGAACATCTCAGCTCTAACCCGACGCCTAAAGTCACAACCAACGGGAAAGATCAGAGTAAAACAGAATAAAAAAGAAGAGAAGGCATTAAAGAGATGCTCAAGAGATGTATGGCTGATTCAAACCCTGCACTGCACCATGACAGAAGAACTGTCACGTGATTTATTCAGTTTAATGGACATTTAGAGCGCAAACGTTGTTTTTTTTCATTTCTGTACCCGAATTCTTTCGACCAGCAAAAGCAGCACCTGAAATCCAGGAGTTCTTTACTGCTGCCTACGAGCTCTCTGCTGAACGAGACCCACCTTTTGGTTCTTCTATGAGGCAGATCCTTTTAGAGGCAGGGATCATCCCAACTTTCAGGGACTTGCTGCTGATTCGTTTGCGAGGGAAGGGGGTGCCGGGGGCAGGAGTCGGTGCCTGTGTCGACAGATTTGGTACAGCACCATCAGAGGAGCTGGAAAGCTGCACTTCACCTGCTGACATTTCCTCTCCTGTTTTGGAAACCATCTCTTCATCTAGGTTTTCCACACTTCTACCTGCTGACACGTCCTCCTCGTCTCCCTCCTCTGCTTGCTCCATTTCTTCCAAGGGCTGGGAAATGTCCTCCTCAAACTCAGCTTCCTCCTCGTTATCTTCCTCCTCCTCTTCTTCTTCCTCTTCCTCCTCTTCCTCTTCTGAAAGATCCAAATTCCTCTCTCCAGCCTTGGCACCTTCCCCAGCCTCAGCTGCCTCAGACACAGCACTGAAGTTGATGGAGGGACACAACTCATAGACCTTCATCCGGTAAAATTTGAAAGCAGAACTGTTTTGATCTTGTAGAAACCTGAGCAGAAAAAAAAAACAACAAACAAACCACCAAAACAGTCAAAAGAGTATCAGAGAAAGATCATCTTTTAGCTGGAGTGAAGCAAGGCATTAGAAATCAATCTCTGGTTAATTTTGGGGAGGTCATTTCCAGGTGTAGAGCTGCGGGGTTCCCTGACAGCAGGCACCACAAACAGCAATTCCTCTCCCCGATTCTGGTGTTCAGCAGCACTTCCCAAACCGTGCTGGGAAAGAACTCAGGGGCACGATCTTAAAAAATGGGCTGGCAGGGCACTGTTTCAAGATTCCAGCTGATTGTTCAGCGTATAAAAGAAAGGGATGTGCATTTGGGAGGAGCGTTTCCCCTTCTCGGGAGGTGCTGCAGACAACAGGGAGTGTTGCCCCAAATCCTCTGTTCCTAAACACACCAGATAAAAACACACAGCTCAGCAAACAATTCCAGGGGAGGGGAGCATTTGGAGGTTCCTGATCAGCCCCACTGACACAGGTAAAGGTGCAGTTACTCACCAGAGGTCTGGGTTATCTGCACTGTTGTCTATGCTGAACTGCTCGATTTCTGGTCCTACCTGAGCAACAAACTTGGCAAGTTTCTCTGCAGTTTCCATGGTTTTGGCATCCACTGCAAGAAACCAAATGTTCTGTCAGCTTCCTGCGAGCCCTGCCCCGCTGGGAGGTCAGAACACTCGAGAACTATCAACTTCAGCAAAAGAAACCAGAAATCAGCACAACACTCGAGGCAGTTTTTCTCTTATCACTGATATGATCCCGAATCTTCACTTACCATCAGGAAACTGAGAGGCCAACGGCGGGAAAAGCTCTGGTGGTGCTGGTAAATCCTCAGGGTCTGCCCTTTCCTCTGGTGGCAGAGAGCCCTCGGAGCTGGGGGCACCCTGTGGGGACGAGCTGGTGCCGAGGGGAGAGTTCTTGTGGGACAGGCTGGATCCTGCCACCGACACCTTGGGCTGGGCTGGACCTGGAAGATGTTTGTCTTGGTGCCTCAGCACTGTCCCAGCTGAAAGCACAGTCTGTGTCCCTATGGTTGCTCTCCTCACCTTCCTTCCTCGGGTGCCACGCTGGGGGAGCCCTCCAGGCCTTTTTCTCTTGAACAGCCTTCTCTTAATGCTTGCAATTTTCCTGGCGTAGAGCAGGGCCCTGATGGACTCTGTGGCGGCTTCTTCTGGGGTCCTGCCCTCCCCACCCTCCTCCTTCCTCCTCTGCGCCTCTGACAGCTTCAGTCTGTAATATTTGTACTCCAGGCTGTCCTCATCAGACAGGAACCTGAATTAAAAATCACAGGAACGGAATGAGAGCTGGGCTGAAAGCATCACAAGCTCAGCACTGAGCCTGAGCAGGTTTTTCTTGGAAGAACAGCCAATTCCACGTCTGAAGCAGGCAGGAAAGTGTGCCAAGCAAATAAAGAAGGGAGGGGGTTTGACACAAATCATCTGGGCGGTAATTAATCAGCCCTGGTGCAGCTCACACACGAGGAGATGCTGTCATATGAAAAGATTATCGTGCTTGGAAGTGTCTCAGCTTTCCCTTTCCCACGTTACTCGTGGAACACCAAACCCCTAGGCCTGTTACCTTCCTGGGTGTTTCCATCAGCCACACTTATTTACTTTTTTTCACCTCCCAAATGCAAATTTGCTTTTTTAACACCTTGCCTTTGGATTGACAGAGACAGTGGTTACTGACACATCAAAAGGAAACGTGAGCTGCTCCACACAACAGGAGCACCAGGCCCATTTCCAGGGATACCAGCAAGCGTAATTGGCTCAGGAAGCATCTCCCAAAATAATCTGATTAAACAGACAATAGGCTTTGATCTCCCTGCCGTGGAAACAGCGAGCCTAATTAAACCTATCCCAAACATCTCCACCGGAGGGGGGAGCATCACAACACACAGTTCAAACACACCCACCAGTACTCAGGGCAGTTCTTCTGAGCGCTCCTGTCCTTGGCAGACAAGGTTCCTGACACGATGCTCTTCACCAGCTGCTCAATTGTCTCCACAACTTTCCTATCAGCTCGTTGTGGGACTGTGGGAAGACACAAAATACAATCAAAGCCAGTCATTGATTATTCTTGTCACCAGAGTATGGATATGTTGGGTTTTTTTATTCTTTGACATGCTGATATTTGCAGTTTTTCAACATGTTCATAGAAAGCAGGCTGCACTTGGATCCCAGAATGCCAGGATAGGAGGGGCTGGAAAGGGAGCTCTGGAGATGCCCCAGTTCAATCCCCCTGCCCAGGCAGGGTCACCTGGCAGAGAGGTGGCACAGGGACACATCCAGGGGGGGTTGGAATGTCCACAGAGAGGAGACTCCTCACCCTCCCTGGAAGCAGCTCTGCCACTTCCACTGACAGAAGCTGAGCTGGAACTTGTTGTGGTTTAGTTTCTGGCCATCACTCCTTGTCCTGTCTCTGGGCACCATGAGCAGAGTTATGGCCCCATCGTCTGACAGCCTTTGGAGATATTTATGGATTGATGGCATCATCCCTCAACCTTTCCTTCTCCACTCTCTGCTCATCAGAGAGATGCTCCAGATCCCAAATCATCTCTGTGGCCTCTGCTGGACCCTCTCCAGCAGCTCCCTGTCCTTCTGGAAGTGTGGAGAGCAGAACTGAACCCAACTCTCCAGATGTGGCCTCACCAGGGCCGAGTGGAGGGGCAGGATCCCCTGCCTGACCCATCACCACACTCTTCCCAACGCACCCTTCCAAAACTACAGTAAATGAAGGAAACCTCTACACTTTAACTATCATGAAAAGCAGGCTAACCCTGGGCAAGCTAAGCCCTCCTTAAAAAGGCCATTCCTTATTGCACCAAAAAGGATTTTGTGCAAAACGAGTTCATTTGCACACTCGCCCTGAAAGGGCAAGTTCCAAGGGATCAGTCAGTCGGTGTCAGCCCTGCAGGACCCCCCTGAGAGAGGATCTGAAGTGCAATCAGGAAAAAACCAAACAGATGGTTGGAATGATGAGCAGGAATGTTTTAGGGAGGAGGAACTCGCTGGCCTAATGTAGTGGAGGGTGAGTGTTCCTGTAGATGAGAGGATATAAACATCTCAAAAAAAACCCCACACCTGGATCTGATAAGAGTGGGGATGGTAACACCTCCAAATTTGCATATATGCAAATACTTGCTCTGTAATGAAGCCAGTTCCAGGTTGGCCCCGGCCTCCCTGCCTCGAGGTGGTGAGGCTGGAGGGGCTGCCAGGGGCACGAGGTGAAAATCCTGGATTTAAGGTATCGGCACGTGCCAGAGAGGGGAGGGAGGAAGCAACAGAGAGCATTCACTCCCTGCCTCGGCTGCTGGGGATTTACACGGAATCCCCACAATTAGCAATTCCTGACCTAATGAAACCACAAAAAAAAGCACCAGAGCAGTTCCCTCCCTTTTTACCTTTCGTGTCAGGAGAGGCTGCTTTGAGCTGTTCCGCGGCCTCGGGCTCGGGCCTCTTCATCTGGATGGGGTAGCCGCTCTTCTCCAGCCAAGCCTTCAGGTTCTCAATGTACTCCCTTCCGAACAGGGTGGAGTCGTCGAAGTTGGGGAACAGCGTCGGGGCCGGGGCCATCTCCTGCAGCCCCACGGCCTCCAGGATCTTCTCCTGCCTGAAGACGGACGCCAGGGCAAAGGTCTGGCCCAGGAGAGCCAGGGACTTGCGACAGAGAGACACGGTGGTCTCGAAGGCGCCGGCCATCTCCCGGGGGTTCCCGAAGCCGCTGGTCTTAATGCTCAGCTCGTAGGCGTTGCAGGCCATGAGCAGGGGGGTGACCCCCTTCAGGAGGCGGTCCTGGAGCCTCATGATGTACTTGTCGAAGGGTTTGATGATCTCGAAGAAGCAGTTCTTGGTTTTCACGGCGCCCTTGTCCAGCAGCATGTTGAGGAACTCGTTGTCCACCTTGGGGGTTTTCAGGGCGGCGTGCTGCAGGCTCTTGATGGTGAAGAAACAGTAATCCCTGTGCTCTGGCCTCAGGGAGCACTTGAAGGAGGCCAGCATCTTGGCACAGGTCTCCGTCTCCAGCTCGAAGAGAGCCCCGAAGAGCCGGGAGAACTCGGCGTCGTTTTTGATGGCGTGGAACCCGGCCCACTTGATAATCTCCACCCCGAACGTGGAAAAAATGTCTGACTTATCCACCAGGTCGAAGTTGAGGTTCCTGAACACGTGGGCAGGCTTGGGGAGCCTGAGGATGGGTCTCTGGGCTGCCAGGGCCGGCCTTTGGTTGGGTCGTGGGGGCAGCTTTGGGACGGGCACCGGCCTCGGGCTGGGTCGTTCGGCGGCTTCCAGGGGCTGCTCCGGAGCCTGCGGATCGAGGCCCGGCTGCGGTTTCTTCACGTCCCACTTCTTGAGGGGGGTTTTGACCTCCCCTTTGAACACCTTAGCTTTGACCACGCCCCTCGTGAGCCGCTTTCCCCTCAGGATCCTCCCCCTGCCAACGACCCCCCTCCGGATAGGGGGCCGGAACTCGCTGTCTTGAACCCCGAACTCCGCGTCGTACTCCTGGTCTTCCGCCCCGCCAAACTCCTCGTCCATGAGCCCCGGCGACCTGAAGTCCCCCAGGATATCTGCGGAGCTAAAATCAGGTTCGGCAGCTTCCCAAGAGTCAGGAGGGCCGTAATCCTGGTCGTGGGAGGCCAGGCCCCCGTAATCCCTCTCGTGGGAAGCCGGGTGTCCGTACTCCCGGTCGCGCCCGTACTCCCGGTTTTGGGGAGCTGGGTGCCCGTAGTCCCTGTTTTGAGAAGGTGGGTGCCCATACTCCCTGTTCTGGGCAGCTGGGTGCCCGTACTCCCTGTTTTGGGAAGCTGGGCGCCCGTACTCCCGCTCGTGGGGCGCGGGGCGGCCGAACTGCTCGTGGTAATAGCTGTCCTTCCGCAGGAGGGGGCTGGCGGGCCTGTAGGAAGGGCCCGGGTAGTCCTCGCGGGGGTCTTCCC